GTTTTTGTGTAAAAATAGATGAAACAAGATTGGAATTGTGTAAATTGATTAATAATATAGATTAGTAATTGAGATCTTCAAGTTGAAGGTCTAGGAAATTTTGTAAGTGTGTTATTTGTATTTGTTCAGGTATGTCTAGATTTGGATTAATAAGGTATTTGTATATCTGTTGTTCGAGATTTGGGTAATTATATTCTTTTGTGTTAAGTCTCTAATATATAAATGTCAGTCCCTGTTTGTGTACTTCAATAATGTTGGTATCGAGTTGTGTTCGTGATTTTTCAGGTATTTTTATCTTTTCTTTAAGTGTTTTAATTATATTTTTATACTGAAGTAGTATGTATATTTAATTCTCGAAGTTGTTTTCTTTCTTGAATATAGGTGTCTTTATTTTGGTTATATCGTAATATGATTCCTTGCGATTGTAATTCTTGTTCTTCTGCTGTTAAATTATCTGTTGGTCGTATTCGATATTCTTGAAGTTCGATAATTATTTGAAATAGTTCGTGATATCTTTTACAGTACGATATTTGTTTAAGAGTTTTATTAATTGTAGGGTGATTTTCTTCTTCGTATAAACAATAAAGTGATATCCCTTCTTTTGTCAGGAAAATAATTTGACTGATATCTCCTCGTCAATTACTTGTTCGAGATGTGTTGTTCTGTGTGTACTGCAATTGTTTCTATAATTATTTGTTATATAAATTTCAGTTGTGTAGGTATCTTGGTATAGTCGTAGGTTATATCAGGTCTTTTCATAAAGCTTGTTTCTTTCGCTTTAATGAGTAAAGGTATTCTTCAAATAAGTAATTTGATTTATTCTTGTGTTGCGTTTCTTTTTCTTGAATCAACTTCTCAATTTTCTTTTGATTGTTTTCTATGTATGTTGGGTCTAGTTTGTATCCCGGTTTCGGTCCTCTTTTCTTTGGTATGTTGAAAGTGCACTGTTTACTTTGCAACGCACAATCTTCACAGTTTTCGTTTGGATTGGGCCGTATACACTTGACGTATAGTATCTGGCAGTTTATACAAGCTTGTGTAATGTATGGTTCTTCTACGTGTCTTTTGTATCGTGTTCGTCTTGGTGACATTCACTTTCTTCTTCAGAAGTATCTTGTGTTTCGTTAAGTACTTCGTAAAGTTTATCAAAAGTATGTTGTATGTTTAAGGCGTTGAAAATTATTTTTGCCTCTTCAATTGTATTAAGTAAATTTATTTTTGCGTCAAATATTTTTCGAAGTGCTTTAGTTTTATCCGATATTCGATAGTTTCTTTTACAAGTTTTATTAGCAAGTTTACAAAATGTGCAAGGTATTTTATTATCACAGGGTAAATCTTTGGATTCACAGTTTTTGCAAATTGTATATCTTTCTCGTGTTTTGGGTATGTGTTTATGCCGAGGCATGATTCAGAGTTAAGTCTGAAGTTAATGCTTTTATAACTTTTTCGTTGTTACTGTGTTACTTTAATTATTTATACTTTTTCATTAATAAATTATGAACAATACATGTTTGTGGATAATTATGAGTAATATTTATACAAGTATAATATAATATTGTTAAATAGAATGTTGTAGAAAGTTAAAGCTTTTTCTGGTGTACTTTGGCATTTTCTCATTTTTGGGGTGCCTTTATTTTTGGAGTGATTAATCTAATTCATCGTTTTCACTTGGTTTATACCTTTTCTTTTGTTCATAAATATTTTGTTTAGTTTGACGAATATATTCTTTTAAAATAGGGTCAAATCGTTTATCAGGGTAATCTTCATTGAGAGTCCCATATTCATCAATCATCGTTGTTTTGAATAGTTGTACCTGTTGGTCAATTAATGTAATATTTCAAAGTTTCGAAAGATAATCTTTTTCTTCAAATTCTTCAAACTTTCGTTTGAGATTAGTATTTTCTTGGTGAAGTTCGTTAAACATTAATTGGTGGATTTCAATTGCTTGTTTCAGAATTTGAATATGTTCAGCTTGTTCATTCGCTAGTTTTTGTAAATTAATGATATTTTCTTTGATTTGTTCAATTTCAGTTCTTTCAATTTTATCAAAGTTAAATTCTTCTTCTTTTTGTTTCGCTTCTTTTGGTTTAAACTCTTCTTGCGAAATTTCTTGGATTTCATCTTTTTCTTGAATTTTTCTGCACATATTACATTTTCCATTTTGTAATAAATTCGCAGATGTTTCGTTTTTGCAGTGCTTACATTTTGGTGTAATATTGATCATTGTATCGATCATTATTTCTGGTTCAAAGCATTTTTCGCAAATATTTCTTTTGAGATTAATTCTAAGTGTTTCATTTTGACAGATAGCACATGGAAGTGTGCTTTCTTTGTAGCACTCATTGCAAATGTTATCAATCAAATCTTTTTCATCGTAGGGATATTTGCATTCAGAACATAAGTCTTTATTTTTAATATCTAATAAAGGTTCTTCGTATACTTTGAATGCTTTAGTTTTTTGTTTCCAATTTTTACTATTAAGTTCAACAGGTGGTTTATAGTCTTGGTCCATTGTATATGTTGCAATATCTTGTTCTGTTAGATTTTGTTAGGTGTCTCGCATTTCTTCTGCTAGATTTTCCGAGTTGACTGGTTCTTCGTTTAAGTCTTTATTTAGAATGATTTTAACGGAATCGTTAAAAATATCTCCATATTCATCGTGTGAAGCTGTTTGATATTCCATTTTCTTATAGTGGCTAATATGCCAATTGAATACGTAGTTGATTTCTTTTCTTGTTGGATTATTTGTTTTTGGTTATAAACTCTAGTTCCTTGTTCTTTGAAGAGGAGTTCTCCTTCTTCTTCCATTAAATTTATAAGGTGATTTATTTTTGTTTCATTAATGGTTTTGTCAGCATCTATTCTATATCTTGTTCAGTGGTGAATTCTATTCCATCGAGTATAGGTTGGTCTATCTCTAAGTTCTCCTAGTACCATATATGCAATTTTTTCTTCTATAGTACATAGGTACGTTCTGGTATTCCAAAGTTGATAACCTTGTCTTTTTCTGAATGTTCTGCAGCAATATGCACATTCAGTTAATTTATTAATTCCTTCTTTGGTATAGTATTCTTGTGCTTTGGGATCTTCAATATCAAGATATTCATAATGCGTATAGTAACACATTTTGCAGAGTAATACTTCTCTGTAATAGGTTGATTTATTATTTAAGTTTATCACGTGGGAATCCATTAAGGTAAAATGATCATTCTTTCTAACTGGTCATTGGCAGTTGCAGCAGTGATTTGGTTGTCCTTTATGGACTTCGTTATAGGTTTTATTTCTAATTGTTTCTCAATGGTAGATTCGTAATTCTTTTACTTTTTCTAGATCACATCCGCATTTGCCAGTTTTCTGTTTTTGTAATAAAGTATAGTATGGGCATTCCCTATGGAAGTCTTGAAAACAATGTTTACAAATAAGGTTCCAGTCTTCTTGGATAAGAGGTTGTTTCTCTTTTTCTTTTTCTTCATTTCTCCAGTATTCTTTAAGTGATTCGGTTACTTTTGGTGGTTGATTAGGACAATTCTTGACAATATGTCCTCTTTGGTTACACTGTTTACATGTTCTGATTGGACAATAGGAATTAGGATGTCCTTTCTTAAAGCATATTCCACATGTAGTTTCTTGATGTAAGTAAAGTAAGAAATCTTTATCAAATTTCTTTTCATTTTGTTTACTACAATTATGTTGTTCAAGAATGGTCATTCGTAAACATAATGGGCATTCTTCTCTTGGGGTATTATCCCAGATTCTAAACTTTTCTTGTAAAGTCATTTCAGGGCGGATAATTTCTTTTTCTCTTTGATTATTTGTAAATTGTTTCTGATGGTTAGGATTGCTTGGATACATTTTACAATCATGACCAAGTAGCCTGGGATAATTGCAATCAGGGCAATTGACAGCAATAGTTCTTCTCCAGGGGTCATTGATAGTTTCTTTGGACATTTCTTTTTCAGTGTATATTTAGTTTTTCTGTTTGTCACTTTTTCTGATCGGAGTTGGATCTCATTCAAGGTCCTTAAATAGTTGTTGGAATGTTACAGATTGTTTTGGAATTTCTCAGATTTTTTTCGAATGTTTATTCATTTGTGTTTTTGTTATTCCTTATTCTTCAATGACTTCTGTTTGATCATTGTCATCTGTTTCTATTTCTTCAATAATATCAGTGTTACCTGTTGGGTCACTGATTTTAGCTGTCTTTCATAAACATCTTATCAATGCTTCGAATTGGTCATGAAGGTTTTGTCTTTTCCAAATAAATACTAATAATTCTGTAAAAAGGTAACAGCGTTCTCTTGGTGGAATCTTTGACTTGATCACTTGCCAGTGTGCTACAATAGTGTTTGTGTGATACACTTGAATTTCTTCTGTCACAGGATTTGTATCTTTCATTGTAAAGCCTTGGCTGTGATTTACGGCGTGGTGTTGTATTCCTAGCCATGAGTAAATATTTTGGTAACCTTTCCATATGTCCGAATAGATTACTGATTCAGGATGTATGTGTTTATCTATTTGTTTCAGCAGTTTATCTGCTGATCTATCTTCTACAATCATTGCAAACATCTTTTGTTGGGGCGTTCGTTCTACACCTCCAAATACCCATATATAGTTTAATTTCATTTTAAATTCATTTATCTCTTCATTGTATATCCATGTCTTACGTGTTCCAAACTTTGATTTGTCTATTTCTACAATGATATCTTGTCCACCTATTTGTTGGTGTTCTTCTTCAAGATTAAAGCTGACTAATTCCTTAAAGATCTTTAGCCATCATGTAATTGTTGTTAGTGACATTCCTGTGAATGTTTTTATTGATTTGTGTTTCATTTCGATTATCCATAAATAGCCTATTTCCAATACATGATTACATGGCGTATTCACGCCATAGAATACTGTGTTTGTAAATATTGACATTCTTTTTCTACACGCGCGTTTTACACAGTTGAATACGGTATCATTAAGAGTCATATTTTGGTTGCACTTTGAGCATTTCATTTGTTTAGGTAGTACTTCTTTTCCTTGTAAGTATTCGATTGCTTGAGCTTCTAATTCGAAGATTCTTTGTAATTCACGATAAGAGGGTGTGTGAGTCATCTTTTGTTTACTCAGATATTACGCATTTGTTTATGTGTTTATCAAGTGTCTAAATCATCAATGAATTCGTTGTACTCCTGTGATCCAAATGTTTTCCAGTAGATATCTTCTGGTAGTGTAAATGAATCTTCTTGTATCATCCACGTTTCAATTACTAGTGCTACTATCCATCAATATGATATAAGTGAAGTTCATGGTTGGTTCATTAGATAAGGATGTCTACACGCTTTTCCTTTTCGCGTCGTATTTATAGATTATCAAAATTATCTGGTGTAACTATGTGTTACCTTAGTTATTATATAACCAAAGATTATCGGAATTTGTTCTGACTAAAATTCCGAATTATAACCTTAAACAATAACTTAAATCTGAACTATTATTCATTCTAAAATGTCTTCTAATAATAACAATAATACTTCTTCTGAAAATAATAATGATTGTTTCTTCGATTATAAACATTTTCATATCAATATTAATTCTATGGAAGTTTATCTTTCCTATCCTTTTGCTAAGTATCTCTGGGATACTTATAATGGCCATCCTACTTGTATCGAGGATTTCTTAAAAAGTGTTACTCGCAATTTTTTTCAGGACTTAAAGAAAGATGAATCTTATGAGTTTGATTTCCCAGCCTATAAATGGCTTATTTTTGATAACGAAGATTTCCAAGGTCACGACTTTCAGAAGGTAATCGATAAGTATTGGTTCGAAGAGGATTGTATTCTTAGCCGGTTTTTAATTGACCACGTCATCATGGTTGATATTAACCTTGAGAATCCTAATATGGATTTCGAGGGTTTTCGCGAACTCGTTTCTAAGGGCCTTGATTGGGAAACTACTCCTACTCTTAGTAACTTCGAAACTATTCAGGTAGATCTTCCTAAGTGTGTTGAAATCGTTGATGTAGATTCTTATACTTTTTCTAATTCTAATAGTCATTCATCCGAGGGTCAGAATTGTCATAAAGATGATAAGTGGTATGAAGATTTAGATCCTAATTTTAGTTGGGATTATATTCGTTGTAGAGATTGCAATTTTATTTGTTGTAATTGTCTTTATAGTGACGATGATGCTTTATTTAACTATTAGCCTTGTGATTATTCAAGGTGTTCTACTCCATATTCTTATTTTTCTATTGATTAATAAAGCTATATTTTATTCTTGTTTTTCTTTATAATCTTTTCGTAATTCTTGTTTTGGTTGTATCTTCAGTTTCAGTAGTACTTCTTCAGAATCTTTTGTTTGTCCTAAATGTCTTGATAACCAGTCTGCTATATTATTGTCTTTTCCAGGTATTCGTTCCAAAGTATAATTCATGTCTTGTAATTCTATAAGCCATCTTTCAATAGTTGTATTTCGCGGTATTTTTCCACTTGTCATAGTTCCAGTATTATCTGTTCGTACTATAACATGTTTATTTCCAATATACGGTTTCCATTTAGTAAGATTATAATATATTGCAAACATTTCTTTTTGCGTGCTACCCCATCATTATTGGGTAGGTGATAAAGATTGTGAGCCGAATTCTATTACTTCTTCTTGTGATTTTGTCCAATAATCTTCTTTATCTTCAAGTTTACGCATCTTAGTTTTATA